CAGGCTTCCTTAAACTTAATGAAGCTCCTCACTGATCTTCAACAGCTCCATGGGCAGATTGGACACAAGTCCTCACAGAGAAGAAATTAAAGCAGAGCACAGCTGTGCAAGTTGCCCCAAGATAAGCACTAAGGGGGCTGGAATTCAGGTCCCACCACCCTCAGTCAGGGCTCCTATCTACTGGGTGGCAAAGAGTCAGGCACACGTGGGCACTTGCTTGGGCAGAAACCAAGTGGTGGCTTCACCAGACTGTGGTTCTGATGGAGTTGGTGTCTGGTGCAATACTTTTAATTCAACTGTTACCTCTGCTTATAATCAATAAAATTTTCCCTTTTTGACAATATTATGCGACAAAATTCTGATGTCTATTTCAGATTTAAAAAGTGTAATGATGTTATCAAATATTATTACTGTATAACATTTAAAACAACACAAAATGCAAGCATGGCTTTCAGATTTCTCACAAAACATATTTTCCCCCAGATTAAAATTTTTTATTCATTTCATTTGTATATCTTTATGGGTAAATCATGGCAATTCAATATAGGTGTACAAGTTTTATCATGTAAATTTGATGTTACTTCCAGGAAGTCCCTGTAGTGTAACCCGCCTTTAGTTTGTTTTTTTTTTTTTTTTTTTTTTTTGTGATGAATGACTTTTCATAGAATTCATACTGTGACACAGTCTGAGAGACTGTCTCTGTGTGCCCTTCAAGAATGGGGACATTCTAGCATTTCAAGCAGGCATTGATTTAGGATAGATAAGGCTGGACACCTGAGGAATTTGGAGGAAGCAGATTTATTTAAGCTGCAGCAATCCAGAAGGGGTAAAGCCAAACAATCTCTGGACCCCAGGTCTGGAAATTCTCAGAGAATTCAGTTGGTGGTTGTACAATACAATGGTTAACATAACAGTTACATTTTGTTCCACGTTCTTTGGTTGGAAAGAGGTTTCAAAATTTTTTACTATGGAAACAGATCTTTTGCACATCAACACACATGATTGGAGACCTTTTTTTTAAAATTGTAGATGAGAATAATACATGTAATTTTTTTCTGTTTTTTGGTGGTGCCAAGAATCAAACCTCAGGTCTCACATATGCTAGGCAAGTGCTCTGTCACTGACCACAACCCCAGCCCTGCAGGCCTTTACAAGAAACCTGGCCTTCACAACAAAGAGGAGCGCAAAGCACAATAAGTTCTCTAGAAATCCTGCTCACTTCTTAAACAATTATCTCCTTGACTAGGAGAGAGGCTTATATCTTACAATGAAGATGGGGGTCTTCTGTGGGGTACATCATTACCCCCTTTGATGCTCACTATTTAATCCTCTAAGTCAAAAAGCATTATTATCTTCTTGGATTTAAGCTTTATATAATGTCACATCATATTTTTTTTAACAGCTGCTTCTATAGTAGACCCACTAGTTGTAATGTAAAGAGGAAGCAAACATGGAAGCAATGAACAAGTTCATAGCATAATCCCTGCTATGTCAATTAAGATTTGAATCCATCAAGAACAGGAAACCATCCACCAACTAGTGAGCTTGGATGCCAACCGTAATACCCTTTCAGGTTTGAACTGGTACATGTGGTAGTTTTCTGATAGTGTTAACTATGTGTTTGATTGTTATCAGTCCTAGAGTCAAGACAAAAGAAAGGACTGTGTATATGAAAGAGGTAAGTGGTGGCAATGAGAGTATAAGAGCTGTCTTAGAGGGAGAAACAGTCCATTTTCCTGTTGGTGAGTTTATCTTACACCTTGTGTGGATCATCCAGCCCACAGTGGCTGAAGCAGGGCTGATGTTTCCTCTAGCTTTGGGCACATGCAGGCTAGTCATCTTCCAGAGTGACTTGAGAAGGGTTGGTGTCCTTCTGATCCTTGAGCTTGTCAGGTGTTTCCTTCTTCCTGATGCTCAGCTTAAAGGGTGCAAATTAAGGAGAGAAAGCTGCAAAAGAATGTACGTAAGAATAAGAGATTTTATTTTCAAGAAATTCCAAAAGGAACAAAATATTACATAATGTATATTTCTGCATGTGTACATACATGTATTGACATATTTGGTGACACTCTAAAGAAGAGTAAGGGATTGTGGACAGTGCTCAGAGTGGGGCTGTGACAGAGGTGGGGGATATCCCAGGAGGCCTGAACTATGTAGATTTATCTCAATGTAACTTTAAACAAATTTGAAAACAACCTATAATTTCAGAAGCCTGACCCAACATTGGCTTATGATCTTCCATATATTATTATTTCATCTAAAAAATAAAAAATAAATTTTAACCCCCTGTCTCAAAGGTCAATTGCACTTCAAAGTGGGTTAACTTTAAGCTCAGAATATATTTCTGCGTGGAAATTGTGTCATATGCCTACTTGGATCCCAAAGTTTAGGCAGTGCTCAGCAGCTTAATTTACCCTTGGCTTATCCTCCTCACCATCTTTACTTTACCAGATGCAAACCCAAGGTTGTATCCAGCTCTACCCATTCTGAAGTCTTTACCCCTCCTCACAATACCCCTTAGCCAGACAAAACTTGCTAACTTATATTTTTTCTTTCTTGATAATCTCTTGGAAGAAGCCAGAGTTAGGCTAAATTTGGTAGATCTAGGAGGGTATTTTCCAAATGGGTTGTTTTTCTCCAAGTTCAGGTATGGCCAGTCTGGCTGTCCCCAGCCTGCTGCAATGTGCTCAGGCCTCACACCACTGCCCAGAGACCCAGTGCCCATATGGCCCCATGTCCAGGACACAGAGTCCCCTCAGGGAGGAGTGGGGGATAGGGGAAGAAGACGTGGTGGGAAGTTTAGGAGAAAGGACCAGAAGGTGCTTCCAGGGCTGGACTCCCAGAGCATCCAGAGATCCCTCTCCAGCTTGCCCTAAAGGATCAGGTCCAGACCTGGTCAGCAGCTCCCAGGCTCTGACCCTGCTCTCTCAGCAGTGAGCTGGACCCACCTAGACCCACCCACTGCCTGCTGTGAGGACCTCAGCCTTTATTTAATGTGCTCACTAGTTTATTTGGATGAGTTCCCTGAGTTAGAGCCATAACTCCTCAAGGGTCCTGAGGAGTGGTGGTTGGTCCGGGGGCGGGGGGGGGGGTGGCGATAGGCAGGCAGCATGGTGAGGTGACTGTGATGGAGAATGCCCAGTTTCCTAGCTCTTGTATATCTTGAGCAGACCAGAAGCCTTGGAGTCAATTCACTCCAATGGCACCATCATGAAATGGGGCATCTTGTGGCCATAGCAGCATCCAGCCACTTTTAGCATAGGGCATCAGGCATCAAAAGTCAGGACTGCAGTATTGGAATGGGGTGTGGGTGTCTGTGGATGTGTCAGCATGCAGCTGTGTACCTTGCTTCCTACTCATGCTGGCGGTGACTGTGGAAGGATCCAGAAAGAGTGGTTGTGACAACAGAGGCATCCAGTCCTGAGGGTTGTCATCCTGCCATAGTGACAAGAGTCTGGCTGCAGTTGCAATAAAGTTGGCATCCAGTGCTGAGCATCACTGTCTGGTGTCCATGTTAAAGTCTGGTGACAGCAGGGTGGAGCTTCAAAGTCTGGCAGGGGTGAGAGCAACATGCACCTGCATCAGGGGTCCTCAGTATAGGGGTCGGATATCAGGCTTGGGGTGAAGTGCAGTGACGTTGGGTCCTTGGTGGGCAGCATCAGAATCCAGCTGGAGTTTGAAAGTTCAATTGCTGCATGATGGTGGTGGCACCAGAAGAGCCCAGAAGCAGGGGCAGCAACAACAGGCAGTGTCCAGCAGTGAGCATCTCATTCCTGCAGCAGTAATTGGGGTCCGGCTGCAGGGTGGTGAATGTGGCATCCAGTGGCCATGTGGGGAATCTGGGTGGCTACAGCAAAGAGCTCCAGGCTGGCAGTGGTCGTGAGGGCATGGGATAGTGGGCATCAGAGTGAGAAGGTGACCAGTAGCTAAGATGGCCTCTGGAAGCTCCAGGCCCTGGTCTTTCTCCTGGTGGACTTGGCCTGCTCAGGAAGAAGCATATGGGAGACCACAGTACCCAGGCAGCAATCCAGGAACTTATCTGCCCTCAGCTGCCATGCCTCGCTCTGGCCATGAGCCCACTTGGTTCCTCTTCACCTCATGCCCTGGTACAGCTTCTACTGAGGAACTAGGCTGTCTGCCAGATTGAGGTGGCCTTAGGAGAGAACCCCACTGTCCCCAGCCACATCCTGCATGGACTGTGGGGACAGAGATCAGAGGTCCTAGGACATCTTCACCCCCAAAGCACATTTCTGTGGCTAAGGGCAGCAGAAGACCAAGACAGAGGGTCTGCACCCTTAGGCTCCCTCTGCCACCTGTGCCCTCCACTCTTGTCCTGCCCCAGGATGCCCTTGGAGGGTGAGGATTTTCTAGGCCCCCCCCACCTCCCACCTCTGCACTCTGCTGCCACAGCCCAGGGGAGATGTGCCTGGGGAGGGTGGGTGTCCTCTCCAAAGGCTTCCCCAGCTGGAAGATGGCCTACTCACCCCTTAGAGGCTACAACCCTGGGAGGGACTCAAGGATCAGGCGAGCAGCTGCCTGGTGGACTCAAGGCCAATGCCAGGCATGGCTGGCCTGGTCAGTATAAGGACCTCAGCAGCTGTCTGGGTACCACCAGCTCCTATGTCCTGCTTCCTGAGCAGGCAGGTTCTACTAGAAGCAAGACCAGTCACCTGGGGGAGCCACTGCAGAGACCATCACAGCCTCCAGTTGCCCTCTGACTCTGAGGCCCACTGTCCCATGCTGTCACCATCACCGCTACCAGAGCTCCACACTGTGGCCACTGGAGTCCCCACATAGCCACCAGTAATGCTGCAGCCACCACCACTGCATTGGGAACAGACTCCCACCACCACCAGAGGATGAGGATGCTCCTGTCTGGATGCCTGGCTTGCTGCCACCACCTCCAGACTCCTCAGTTGCCTTTGCCACCGCTGCCATAACTGAACTCCAGAAACTGACATTCCACAGAGGCCCAACACCAAGGCTTCACTGTCCTGGTTCCTGCTTGTGGCTGTCCTCCAAGCCTGAGGCCAAGTCTCCATCCTGCCACTGATACATCTGGACTCCCCAAACTGCCATGGGACTCCTGTTTGACATCCTCCTCATAGATGGATGCTCCTGCTACAGAATCCTGCACTGCTCCGGGTCACTGGGAAACTCCAATGTGGAACCCTGCTGTGGAATGCTAAGGCTGGCCTCTGTAGGCTCCAGTTCTGGATACCAGACTTATTTCAGACCCACTGGACACTTCCACAGGTGCCACCTGCACCCCTAGGCTTGGGAAGGGTCCATCACATGCCCTTCCATGCCTGCTGCCTGTTTATTTCTGTCAAGGGATTAACTCACTGATCTCAAAACCGAATCATCTCATTGATAAACCTTGCATTGGCTCACCTGTGAGCTTCTGGGGACACCTACTACCTAACCCACAAAACATCTTCATCAAATAGGTTAGCAAGACCTCCTTGATGACATGCAAGAGCTTCTGCATCAGTACTTGCTACTTTGCCTTGCACTTTTATTTTATGGAGAGGAGCCTCTTGCCAAGAACATCATCAACCAAACTCTGGCAACTTCAAACTTCTTCTGCAGCTTTCTCAATTCTCTCGTCAGTAGAACAATGTAACGTGATGGCCTTATCTGGATTTGGCTTTGGCTGAATGGAACGTGGGTCGTTTCTTCTTTTCTCCACACTATGAAAAGTTTTTTTCCGAATGAGAAATAATGCTGTTATTTCCTTTTTGTCATTTACATATGCCCTGGAGCAGCCCTTTAATTTCCTTCATGAACATTTCCTTTGCATTCTCAGTGTGACAAAGTAGTGCAAGATGCACAGCTTTTTATGTGAAGTGCAAAGCATAAGACTCTTCCTTTTATTTAAATAGTACAAACCATTACTGATTTATTAATGGTTCTACTTCAATAGTGTGTCTTGGAGAATAAGAGGATGGTGAGCCATGATCTGTGGAGCAATAAGAATGCACATATTAAGGTTGTTATCTTATATGAACAGGATTTTTAGTGCCACGTGACAATTAAAATAGTTAATATCACAGATCACAGTATGAGTTATAATGGCCTGAAATCTTCAACACTCATTAGGCAGTCACCTCTGCTCTATACCCAGGGACCTCTATCTCACCTTCTCCAGGATGGCCTGTTTGTGTCCTCTCCCACAGCACCATGAGCTCTACGTGGGCTCCATCAGCAGCTACACAGTGCTGATGGTGGCACAGCCTGGTGAATGGATGAGCATTTTTAGGTCAACATAAAAGATTGTCACTAAAAATACTTACAATGCCATCCTAAAAATGAAAGAATTACCATCACAAAAAAAAATAGACAATCTCAGAGGGAAGTGGAAGGAGAGCTGAGCTGGGGGGTCTGGCACTGGGTAATGCTCAGAAGGTCACATGTGGGAGGTGCCATAGAAAACATTAGAACTAGGGTGGTGAGCATACATTCCAGGAGAAGTGGAGGGCTGCTGGCCTAATAGTTTCTTGACTTACTGCTTCTGGTGTTTTGGTGCCTGAAATTTAAGTTGCTGCCAGGAAAGGTGGCTCTCTTTCAAAGGATGGGATGGCAGCTTGGAGTACCATATGTAAATATATATATATCGTCAAGAGGAGGATAATGTTCAATGTCCACTCACTTGCTTAGTGGCAGCTAAGCTGTCTCCTCTTCCTGAATGTTTACAGAGGCCACTCATGGCTCCATATCTTCCTGTGTGTTCAGTGCTGGTGTAGGGCCAGCTTCGGTTTTCAGGGCTATTCCTCCTCCTTCACAGGGAATGTGATAATATGCTCCAAAAATATAAGCAGGTAAATTAGGCCATGGCTACTGGAGGCAATTACATCACTTGGGGTGGTGCTGGACCTGCAGGAGAAAACACCCAACATGACTGGCTTTCCTTGGGCCTTTCCCAATTCACACTAGAACCCTGCCTCTGAGAATAGCCCAGGCCCTCCCCAATAGGACATCTTCCCAGACTAGGTTCCATCAGCTGCAGGATGTCAGGCTTGTGTTTCTCACGACCATATGGCAGATCCCAAGGCCACCAGCAGAGATTCCTCTGCACACACCTTCAGTCATCCACCTCAGGCCCCATCCCCATAATCAGAGAGCTCAGACTCACAGGATCTGTGTTCTCCAGCTGGGGAAGGACATGGAAGTTCCCCTCTGATTCAGGCATAATGAGTAACAGGAAGGCCCTGAGATATTTCAGGTTGTCCAAGTCTTCGGACCTCAAAAATATTCTGCATAGAGGCACAGCCACATTTCAATGATGGAGCAGAGGGTGCTATGGAGTGTGGAGTGAGACAGGGAGTCATGAGGGACTGGGTCTCACCTTTAGATAGCACCTCCCAAGGCCCCTGCATCATGGGCTTCTCAATGAGTGCCCAAGCAGGCCCATGCACCACATCAAAATGGCAACCTTTGAGGCACATGTGTGGGTAAGGGGCTCCCCACACTTGCTGTCCAGTCTCTGTACAGAAAAGTATGGGCAACCCAGGCTGGGATTGGCTGTGTTGGGATGGGATCCTCACAGAGCCTGGTTCTGAGGCCCCAACCACTCCTCTGCTCCTTGGGTGTCCAGAATCCCATTGCAGCACACTATGTCCTCTCTACAGTATAAGCCCCAGAGTTGAGTCCTCTGATGGAAATCACACAGGGTGGAAATTGGGGTTTACCCAGCTATCTTTTACAACAGCCAATCAATTGGCCCCTCTTAAAACAGGAGCCCTCCCGACTGGCCCAAAGACCACTCACTTCTTTTTTTGTAGCCACTCCTCACAAACATCGGGCTGCAGGTTTCTATACCTAGAGAAGGTGAGGCGGCTGTCACCTCTAACATCCTGTGCCCCTCATCTGCCAAGATGGCTGGTGGGCTTGACTAACTTCCTGACAATCATGGAAGTTCTAGAGGGCTAGGAGGTTTGTCTGCATTGCTTCCTAAATGATAGGCCAAGTGATGGCCAATAGTGATGTTACATATACATTTGAGCAATGACTGAGCCCAACCACCTAATGCCTAGCTACCTCAGGGCCAGGACCCATTCCTTTCTCCCCAAGGGTCCCTGTTCTGACTACATGCAGGTTGGAACGCTCCCAGATGCAGTCCACAGACTCCTTCCCAAATGTGAAAATTGCTTATCCTGAAGCCTCAGAGTAGTGAGGCCTGAGATAGGGAACTTGCTCACAGAGAGGGGACGTGACCACAGGGTAAGACCAGAGCTGCAGGCAGCATGTTACACAGAACCAGGCCTGAGGCAGACACTCCTTGGGCTCATCCTACTCGGTTTTCTAAACATCCAGGCAGGGTTCTCCTCTGAAAACACTACTTTCTCCAGAGGGGACGGATTGCCCAGAAATCCCAGGACCAACTAGGACATGGCCATGTGCCAGGGCTTGGAGGTGATTGATACACACCTTTTACTACACAGCAGCTCCAGCACCTTCTGAGGATTAACCAGATTTGGGTAGGAATATAAAAATTCATGGCCATAGGAGGTGTTCCCCTTTGCAGGACAGGAACCAGGCCATTCCTTGGCTCCTGGAGGATGAGTGATGTGAAGGTTTCCAGTAGACAGGACACATCCATTGATGAATCTTGGTCATCTTCTCCCTAGATTGTGGAATCAAATAGGGACACTACAACATGGAAAAGTAGCCATATGCAAAATGACTCATTGCCATACACTCAGGTTAAATTGAAGGATTTATCTCTGTATTCTTGAGATATCACACACACACACATACAGACACACACACAACACACATACACACACAAACCTGGTGAGGGTCTCTAGCAATCAAGGGGAAATTGAGATTCTGGTCCCTTGTGGTTGCCTGTCATGTCTCAATTCTGCTCTCCTTGGGAAAAATTGCCAGAGCTCTAAGGACCCAGCAGTGACCCAGAACTCAAGAAAGGCCCCCCTATTCAGGGCTTTTCTGAGGCTTGAGCATCCACAGATCAGGAACTCTTGGCACTGGGCTTGCTGTCTCAACACCAGTGAGCAGACTGGGACTGTATCTGATTGTTGGTGCCTAGCTACTAGGGTTGCAAGGTCTGTATGTTTTGTGACCAAAAAGTGAGGTCACTTCCTTGGGGACTCCTTACCTGAGTTCTATTCCCACATAAGATGGTTCCAAAGGCCCCCTGGGATCTGGGATGCTCCCATATTCTCATGACACAGGCACCAGTGAACACAGTTACACCAACACACCCTGGATCAGGTCCACAGATAAGCCAGGAATAGGCAGCTCCTCTGGTTTGGAACAGAATGTGGTCCAGACCCACGTCCTCCTTTAGGTTATGTGTGTGATCCTGAAGAAGTCATTGTGGCTTGCAAGACCTCCATGGCTCCCTAATGTGTCCATCAAGGATTATTAGACCACCTGCTTTTCAGGTGGTCATCAGGGGAATGAACCCATACATACATGTACTCCCTCAGATACCCTAATGCTAAAGTTATGAGTCTGTAATACACAAATCTACAGATGACACAGCATTGGAATTTGAGGGACAAAAAATGACATGCAACTCTACCATCACCTGAGTCCCACAGTGAGAGAGAGAAAGTCAACTCCTGCCTTGGCCATGGTCCCCTCTCTGCACCAGTGGAATGCTATAGTGGCTGATATTCAGAGATAGTCTCACCTTTGTCAGAGACCTGCCAATGGCTTCATGTGAGATTTAGAATTGTCCCAAGGTCTCTTCCCATTGTATTATGTGGGTTCATTACAGAGGATCCAAAAGACCATAGCATCCTGGTGCCCAAGGCCTGTAGCTCCCTTCCCTCCAAGTGGATCCACATCAGCATCTGGTTTCTAAGAAACAGAAATCAGCCAGGTCATGAAGACAACTTCTAAGTTTGAGTCAAGGGAAGTCTCACTTTTGTCTGGCTCCATAGCCCCACAGCTGGGGCACTGCTGGGATTCTAGAGCTCTGGGAGAAAAGTTTGTGTGGCAGCAACCAGAGAGACCCAGGGATCCCATGAAATGGCAAGGGGATGGTATTTCTGTGCTTCCCTTTCTGAGTGCCTCACAGAAGAGAAAATATGTGGGTTGTAAACTTCACTGATGCACAAAATATATCAAGAACCAACAATGTTGTGAAGTGGCCAAGATTTTGTCCAACAGCATGGTCCTAACCAGAGGAGTGGAGACTCTATCTTCATGACTTTAGGGAAAGGCTACATTGCTTCTTTCAGGGAAGCAGCAAGCCACTACCCTTTGTTTTGTGTGTCATTCAAGACAATTTCCTCCTATTCCTCCAAGTAAAATATTGAAACAAGGCCCCAGAAACATGAACAAAGAAGTATCTCAGGAGGCAATATTGACTCAATAGCTAAGGATACTGGAGCCGAGAGAAGGACAGACAATTCAGTTTTGAGGACTAGACAGGGAACGGGAGACCATTCCCTGCAGGGAACACTCACTAAACTAATCCATGACCACTGAGCACCCTGTGCTCACTCTTGTATAAAACTCAAGGAGCTGACACCTTTCCCCTCTCCTAAGGAACCTCAAGAATTAGCTAACTCTCCCAGGAGACTCAGGATCATATTCCTTGTACACAGGGAGCTAAGTGGCTGCTCATTACTTTCCTACCAGAGGTGACAAGCACATGATGCTAAGTTCTTTTAAACTATACCAAACTTAAAAAATTGTTTATGCTCTCCCCAAAATAGCAGTAGAATCATCACTTCAAAGTACCATAAGAAAAACTGAATGGGAGAAGATTACTTAAGCAAAGAAATGATCAGGATTCAACTTCCAAAAGACCTAAATGCCCTTGCAGCTCCTGGTCCCTTTGCTGTGGCTTCCAATGGACAGCAGACTCCTTATGTGCTCATTTTGCCTTAGTGACACATGACCTAAGAGGAAAGGCTTTCTGTACACAACAGCTGCTTGACCCAAGCATCTGGATATACACAGCTGCAAATGTTGAAAGTAACACTAAATAATGTCTTTCAAGATAAATAGGTTCTCTCATCAACAATACTAAAATGAGATAAAATGCTACTAGGATACAAAAATGTAGACACTAAGCTGACCTAACACAATATTTATTAAGCATGTTACTTACTGACCCAAAAGTTATATCATAAAGTGTTTCTAAAAGACATCATTCTTATCCTTTCTTGAATTGCTTCTACTCATCTGAAAGATGCCACATCTTTAATTACTGGTTGATTTAGTGCCGTCACATTGGAATTTATTCCAATGTGAATTAAATGTCTTAAATTGAGAAGCCAAATCACAAATTTCCACCAAATCATTTATAAGAAAGTAAAATGGCCTTCTCCACCCAATTCTACACAATGTGCCTGAAAAATATCCCAACAAAGCCAGAAACACACTGAAAAGTTTCCATAAGAATTGTGGAATGATACGGCACCTTCAAAGAATTGAAGACAGTAGCTGCTGTCTATTAAGTGTCTGTACATTTGTTTTAGTAGCACCATCTACCACTGTGTTTCTGGCCCATGTTCAGGGACATGGTTTCTTCCACTCTTCATAGTAACTCAATGAGATGGGTACAACACCCCTGTATAGATGAGGAAACTGAGTCATGGACAAATTAAATGACTTGCCACAGAATACTCAGCATGAAGTGCCAGGGTGGGAATTCAAATCAGGATGGGAATTCAAATCCAGGCTGTCCCACACCAAGTCTGGAACAGAGTGCACTTATTCACTCATTCAACAAACCCCTATGGGTGCCTCCTGGAAGTGAGTGCTTCCCATGTAAGCCCAAAGATTCATAGCACTATGCAATGTAGGTGTCTCTTTTAGCATTCCCAAGTTCCCAATGAGGCTGCTGACCTGGGGAGGCACGGCCCATCAGGCCTGTGAGGAGACTTCACTTTGCATCAGTGAAGCCCCACATAGCTACAGGTGGCTCTGTCCAGGTGGCCAACACACCTGCTTCCTCAGCTCACTGCCAGTAAACATCATGGTCATGGCCAAAGGTGGGTTCACGTCATTCTACAACTGTCCAAGCCCACAGAATATGCATCAGCAAGAGTAAAGATTAAGGTAAGCCCAAGAATCTAGGTGACAATGATGTGGGTTTCTGAACTGGAACAAATGTGCCTCTCTGGTGGCCAGTGATGGTGACAGAGGCTGAGGCTGTGCAGGGACGGGGGCATTCAAAATATCTTTGTCCTTCCTCTCAATTTTGAGCTTAAAAATGCTCTAAAAAGTTATCAAGTAAAAAACAAGAAAAGAAAGAAGTGTGCTTTGTCACTCTGCACTGGGGCAGCTAAGGGCAGATGGCCAGAGCTCGGGGCAAACAGACCCAGCACCTCCTTTCCAACCTGCCTCTCTCCAAGCTCAGCGCAGCATGGCCTTCAAGGGACTTTGGGGTCTTTACAGAGAAGGTGTCTGATGGTCACAGATCAGAAGTCCTGTTTGCAACCTCCACTGGAGGAGGCCATGGGGGAAGACTCAGATTTAGGGTGGCCCACCTCTCCCTCTCTGTCCCTGTGCTGTCCCTACTTATCTCCATGTCACCCCTGCCCCCTCAGAGGCTGCCAGCTGCTTGCTGCCTGAGCACCTTTGTGCTGCTCTTCCCACTTCTTGGCCCAGCAGCTCCTGTCCATCAATAAGCTCTCAGCTCCCACTACACCTCCTCTGAGAAGCCCATTCTGACTACCACCCAGGAACACCCTGACCCTCTCTCCCCTCTGAATTCTGAATTCAACCTATTTCTTCATCAGTTTGCTTGTTCTTTCTCAGGCCCTCCTTCTGGACCATGGACTCCAGGAGGGTAGGGGCCTTCCTTGAGCTCACTGTGGTCTCCCCAGCTCCCCCAGGACTGGAGAGGAGGGCTTGGAAGCTGTGGAAAAGGCACAGGGTGAGGATATAATGAGAAGTGTGCAGGCTGCCACCTGGGGGAGGGCCCGCACCAGACCCTGCCATCCTGGCCCCCTGATCTTGGCCTGTCAGCCTCCAGATCTGTGAGAAATCTGTTTCTGTTGTTTCAAAGCCACACTTGATGGGTCTTAGGTACACCTGCCTTCACTGATTCAGACCTGGGCAACGTGGGCCAGATTTGGGTAATGCATTCTGGACACTTGGAGGTACCCAGGCAAGCTGGGGAGGCTGTCTCCATGCAGCAAGTAGGTGTCTGTGTGCACAATATCATGGTCTGCTCACCTGATCCAGTGGACACCTGGCAAACCGTAAGCCTGCAGGCAGCACTTAGGACCAAAGACAGGCGCAGGGGCAAACTCAGCCACCTCTACTGCAAGAGGCTATGCTCCAAACGTAGCTGATCTCACCCCTTCAGTGGGCACATCTGTGGCTTGCCTGCTTGGCTTTCACCTCCTTGCCTCATCATTTAACCTTGAATATTTTTGGCGACAATTTCTTTCTCTTATATGGTGACTCAGCCCCTCGAGGCTTGATCACTGAGATCAATCCATTCCACCATGATGGGCACAAAGAAGCAGTGACGCAGGCTGGACCAGCCACACCAATCCCATTACTTTCATTATCATCATTAGGCATGGGACACTGTCTTTTCCTTCAATGCCAAACTAGCAGATTGTGCCCCGAAAGCTGCTTGGCAATATGCCACCACCCCACTGAGAGAGGGTGAGCAGGAGAAAGCAGTGCAGGGAGATGGAGAGAGGCAGTATCCTGAGGACATCACTGCAACCTCTGGATAAAGCTGTGCCTGAATCTGTGTTCACCACATACTTCCCACACACGTGAACCAAAGCAATCCACTTTACAGCCTTCTTTTTCTCCTGTAAAGTTATGTTTCTTTACTTATTGTTCTGGCTAATTTTGTTAGGGTTTATCCAATTTGAAAGATGGACCCACTTTGCTGCTTCACAGCTGTGTGGCCTTGGCTCAGTCATTAAACCCTCAGAGCTTCAACATCCTTGCTAGTAAAGAGGAGTTGCTACCTCCACCTTCAAAAGAGGAAGTCAGCCGTGTAAATTATATGAGACAAGGCAAAGCACTTAGGGTTGCGGTTTGATGAATGGAAGATTCTATAATTCTAATCTACTAATTAAGCATAATGTACTGAAGAATAACTACAGGGAATGCTTTCAAAGACCAAAGTATCACTGAGTGTCTGACTCCTAGGGCCTCAGCTATCTGATTTTTCATTGTGGCCTCAGTGAGGAAGCAACCGTTGCATCCCTAAGAACACCCACAATCTGAGCTCCTAAAACATCAGCACAGAAAAAGCATAAAAATATGGATATTCTATCTTCTCATATCACTAAAAGAAAAACACAGTGACCCATCTGAATTTAGAACTCGGAATCCCCTCACCCAAGGGCTCAGGACAACATCATGGCAGGGCCAGAGGCTCCCTCCAAAGGGCTTATCTCTTTGGACATCAAGAAATACCCCTTGTATTCAACATATAGCACAGCTCTGGGGCCTGCAGCACCTCTACCCAGGGCTTATCCAGATGATCAAGCTCATGCTCTGAGAGCATCTGCCAAGTCATCTGTGAGCAGAGGGAAGAAACTGACCCACTACAGCTGAGTCCATCTTGCTCCCACTGGAATGAGCCAAGCACACCTTCCTGCATACAGATGGTGCCACTAGGACAGGTCAGCAACACTGCTGCATAAGGGGAAAGAGACTGTCATCACAGAGGTTCAGGAGCTACTAAGTGGGCAGGACCACAGTTTGAACCCAGGACTGTCTGATTCCAAAGTCTGGACCTTTGCCAACTCCCAGCATAGGTAACAACCACCTATGGGCTGTTGGTTCCAGCTGCAGATCAATGGAAAGCAGGGTTTGCGGCCAGACCCCTGGGTGAACCACTCACCATATCTGGGACCTTAGGCAACTTACCTGCCATCTCCTTGTCCCATTTTCCTAATGCACAAGTGAAGGTGTGTTGTTCACTGCACAGAGCATGGAGGTAGTTAAATTAGATTGTCTATAGAACAGGCTCAGTATCGTATGGTGATTTTTGTTTTGTTTATTTGTTTTTTTTTTTAATTTTTTATTGTTGGCTGTTCAAAACATTACATAGTTCTTGATATATCATATTTCACAATTTGATTCAAGTGGGTTATGAGCTCCCATTTTTACCCCATATACAGATTGCAGAATCACATCAGTTATGCCTTTATTTACTAAGGATGTCTTTAACTGAGCCCTGGGCTTCCTGGCAGGGAGCAAGCCTTATCAGCTACTGTTTTATTATATCTGTAGCCTTGGCAAATTCCAGGGAGGGCCTGGTCACAGAGGGTGGTGCCAGGCATTGGCTAGACCCTAGGGCTCACCAGAAGTGGTGGTCAGCTCTAGAACCTCTTCTGCTTAGAAAGCAGGAACAGGGGGATGTGAGAGGGACTTTCTAGGGGTCACATAGGTTTTAGGGACTGAGGCCTAGGAACAAGGACTCAGGCCAAGTCCTCTTCCATCAGGTGTCGGCAGCCTTAGCAATTGCAGGACCATTGGGGTAACAAAAGTGCCCTTTCCTACTTGTTAACCCATGACATAATGCTCTCCCCAACTACTACAGCACCCCATGAGGCTTTGGCAGGGAGACCCAACAGGATGGCACAGGAGACACAAGCAAACAAGAAAGTCAGGCCCCTCCTGCCACCCTCACTTCTGAGAACCAGGGAGATCAAGGCTACCAGACACTCGTCAATATCCAAAGAACCCAGGAGCTGCACTGCCAGAGGCCTGAAACAGCCTCAAAACACATCCTGTGGGGGGGACTGCATTATTCCTCAGAAGTTCTGCCCCATGAGCCCACACACAGGCTCAACTGAGTGAATCCTACAGGACTCACGGGACCCAGAAATGTCCTTCTTGGAAGTTCTGCACCCATTCAATGGACAAGAATTCTGCAGCACCTCCTCTGCATGCTGGAAAGTGGAGGCTGGGCCTGGGATTCCCAGCCCAGAGTAAAATTTCTACAAAGAACAGGCAGAAGTTTCCTCTCTGGCCTGACACCCTGGGGACCGTGCTTGCTCCCCACTTGTCCCTGATACTTGCATGTTTCTCCTCTGGTCCAAACTCCCCCAGGGCTCTCATGTTATCCAGAGTGAGGACCAAAGACTTCAGCAGCCAAGAGGCTCGGCATGGTGGGCCCTGTTCTTTCTTTGACCTCATCGTCACTCTCCTTCACTCTGCTCTGGTTACATTGGCCACCTTGCTACTCTGTCTTTTCAACTCAAGGTCTTTGCAGGTGTTGATATTCTTCCAGGAACACACTTCCTGCTGAAATGTATGTCCTCCCTTCCAATGCTCTGCTCAAACGTTATCCCCTCAGAGAGGCCAAGCTGACCACCACCACTGGTGAGCCCTTTCCCTCTCTCTCTGACCTTGATTTCTGCCATGGAACTTATTTATCTACCTGTCTTCAGACTGGGTTGTACTTTCAATGAAAACATGTGAGTAAGTGCTCAATCTGCATCTGCATGGGAAGGAGCTCCTCAGTGATGCTTAGTGCATCCATCACATGATGCCAACCCTAAAGCACACACACACACACACACACACATACACACACACACACACACCAGGATGGCCCAAAATGTATCTACACCATGCAAGATCTCTGGCTGACAGCTCACAAGATGCAAACATGACTGCAAAGGGGTGCCAGGCTGAACGATGGTGGGGGATGACTAGAGAAGGGCAAGTCACACACACACACACACACACAAAAAAAAAAATATTAGCCTTATTTATTCATATATACTCATGCATTACACAAACACAGATTCACAAAAACAGTTCACACAGATTCACATACAATGCCTGGAAATGCACTTGGACATCTGCAGACAGATGCACATACATTCTCATACACACACACTCCAGCCACAACTCCACACACATGCACACACACACACACAGCCATGTGTGCACCCACGCACACTCAGTCCAGCCATGAAGATGCCATCCTTAGCCCCCAGCATTGTAAATGTTCCCCACCTCTACAGGGACCTCACAGGTGACCGGCTATAAATCCAGAGGCTGGACTAATCTCCAGGTGGCCCAAGGGACAGTAAAAGGGCAGCAGGACAGCAGGAGTCTGTCTGTCATTCTCCTGTGTAAGGTGGTTAGGATGAGGGGACCCTGACTGCCAAAGAAGCAGTTCACAGATCCTGACCTGTGACCCCCAAGAAGTGGCCTCTGTCTCCTGGTGGTGGCTCTGGGGTCTAGGAATGTGTGGGTGCAGGAGAGAGTCTTTTTTTCCCTAAACTGAACCTCTCTCCTTTGCTGAAGGCTGGGCCCTCCTTGGCAGACTCACTCAACATCAACCTCCCCAAACAGGCCTACCTGTCCCCAAGAGCGTGTCTCTCTTTTTAGCCCTCTTCACTGAGCCCCACACAGCTGTTCCTGCAGAAGATGGAGTCCCACCAGACACCTCAAGGTATGCCCCCACCCTGGAGGATCCTCACACTGCATCCACCCCTGCCACCCCCAGAACCTTAAACTCATGGGTCACACCTCCAGCCCTCCATCCTGGGTGAGCCTGCCTATAGTGTGACACTGCCTGTCACCAGGGAGCACCCCTCCAGGAGCCATTGCCCCCGACCCAAGTTGGCTCTGCTTTCCCAGATGTGCATCCTGCACCTACCTTTTTCTTCAAGGTCTGCAGCATCTTCAGTAGTCTGCAGCATCTTCTGCCTTGTGCCAGGTCTTCACCCCTGGGGGACAAGCAGGTGGGCATGGGTGAGCACATGTAGGGGCAGCCAGGCATGTCCTTCCCTCAGCCCACCTGAAACTTCCTTACCTGTGGGAGCAGCTTCCATGGCTCTCACAGCTTCCTCTGAACAGAAAGGCATGGGGGACCCTTGGGAATATGCGCCGGTAAAGGCAGTGTGGTTGTTGTGTTACCACTCAGGTGGGCATGGGTAGAGCCAGGGACTGCCAAGTTCTGAACTCAGAGTCAGTACCTCCCACTACAGTTGGACCATTCACTAGGAGGGCACCATCACCTAAGATCAGCTTGGAAAGGGTTGGAAAATTTTCCTGGAGACCAAAGCCTTCCTCAGGATCTGAGAATCCCCTCACCTGATCCAGGCTGCCCTCACATGGACTCATACCAGCATCACAGAGCAATGGTGCAGTAGCTTAACCACAAGAGGCCTCTGCTTCCTGCAGTGTCACTTCAGCGCCCTCTACTGAGGAAGCCCCCATCATGCACCTTGTAAATGGGAAATGGTGTAAAAGCCAGGCTATGGTGGAGGAGCAAACACTGAAGGAAGGAAGGAAATAAGATCAGAGCCAACATTAATGCACTTGGGAATAAAAAATAACAACATTAAGGACCAATGAAACAGTGTTTCTTTGAAAATGTAAACAAGATGGATAATGCTAACATAACCAAGAGAAAAGGAGAGAAAATCCAAGTTTATAAAATTAGAGATTAAAAAGGTGAAATCACCATAGATACCACAGAAATCCAGCAGATCATTAGAGACTACTTTGAAACTGGTACGCCAATACATTGGAAAACCTAGAATAAATGAATACATATCTAGATAAATAGGATCTACCAAAACTGAATCAAGAGCAAAAGAAAACCCAAACAGACCAATGAGTTGTAATGAGATGGAAGGCTTTTAATTATTGTCTCTAGCAAAGAAAAACCCAGGGCTGGATGGACTCCCAGCTGAGGTGTACCAAAAACCTTTAAAGGAGAACTGATGCCAAAACACCTCAAATTACTCCATGAAATACAAAGGGATGAACATGTTCCAAATTTATAAAGCCAGCATTGCACACATACCAAAGCCAGATGAGGACACATCTAGAAAAAAACCTACACACCAACATCCACAAATAACTTAGATGCACAAATATGGGATGTATGTTTCCTCTGATATGCAAAAAAAAAAAAAAAAGAATAAAAAGGAAAAGAAATGTGGGAAAGATGAGTGGAGAAAAGGGACCAAGGGGTAGCGGTTGGAGGTAGGGGGAGCTAAGACATACTGCAGCAGTAAAAATCTGGGGAAATGATAAAGATTTCCAGGAAATCTCATTTTGATCCACACCCCCAACAATTGAGACAACCAGTCATTAAGGGAATGGAACAGCTCTCAAAAACTGTTCCATATCACATTTCACATGAAACCACTGTTTTTTGTTTGTTGGTTTCATTGTTTTTTTGTTTGTTTGTTTGGTGAGGTGGGCTTGTCAATCAGCCTACCCTTTAAAATAGAAGAATTGCCACAAGGTATTTGTATGATGAACTAGGAGGAAGCCCTAGATGGAACTCCAACACTAGTCTTTACAAGGATCAGCCTTCTGGGCCAGGCAACATGGCTCTCAGTAAGTTAAGTGTCCTGGTAGAAATGTGAAGAGATGGAAGTCAAGCTAAAGGAGAGCTGGAATCCTAGAGGTGATGACCCAACCAAGACCTGCTCCTTGGCACTGCATTCCCCGCACCCCCACTTTTGGTAGTAGTATTATTTTTCCCACATGGAATTTATAAAATAGGTGCAGAATAATCTTCTTAGTGTATTCTGTGGTGACTGAGGAGCAAGGACAGTTATTTAGAAAGCCAGCTTATGTATTCCATTGTGCAACACGTCACCACTCTTCTGAATGTTGTTGTAGTCTGTTTCTCCTTTTTACAGGAGGCTTTTTAGCCATGATTGGCAGAGGTGGGTTCAGGAGGCTGTCCTTACTGCTCATCAGTTGCTTAATGGACTTTGAGATCAGGCTCATTTTTTTCATGTATTTTGTCCTTCAGTTCACTTATAGTCATTGAAGGGACTGTGGCAAGAAGTCATTAAGGATGCAGCATCTTTCTGATGGACATGAGCAGATTATTGAAGAGTAAGAGAACTGTGTTGTAGAAATTCTTTAGAATGCATGTTTTGGGTCAATGATTTTGCTAATGTAACATGCATAGGGTTCTAATGATCATGAAGATTTTCTACTTTGTTTTCCACATTGAAATATGGCCAGTTTATTCACTACTGTTCTTATACTCTGGTAGTTTCAGTGTAGTTTTAACATTTGCTGAGAAGACAACCAATTTATCTTTAAGAGATGGCCCTTCATGTTGCTTCCCCAAGTCTCCTACACTTTCTTTATTCCTACTTCATTTTCTTCCTCTGTTTCTGCTCTCTTTGGCATTTAAGTGAACTGTGTTGGAGCTCACTGGTTCTTCCCTCTGGGTGATCAATTCTGCTAGGAGGCTCTGTATGTTTTGGAGCTCATTCACTGTAATTCTCAGGGGCAGAATTCTGGAGTGATTTTGGAAACTTAGTGCAATCCCTTGCTCACCTGCTCTGGCAGGTTTCTGTATTGCTTCTCTGTATTCTCAGAGTTTGTTCAGTTCACTTCAAATGACACTTTTGAATCCTTGGCCACTGCCCAGTCTATGCAGAAGCACATATATGGAAGGCCCTCTCCTGTGAGGACATTTTTAACAACTAACCTTCATGTTTGTATTCTCACTAGAGTTTGCCCTGTCCCCTTTCCATCCCTCATCAGTTCTTGCACGCTGTCTTTCACTTTGGATCCAGGCACATATTGATGTTAGTGATTTTATTTATTTATTCATTTTTTATTTTTTTATTGTTGGTTGTTCAAAACATTGCAAATTTCTTGACATATCATATTCCACACTTTGATTCAAGTGGGTTATGATCTTAGTGATTTTAAAGTCCTAGCCTTACCATTGCAATATTTCTGCCAAATCAGAACATGGCTCCCAGGCTTGCTCTATCCACACTGCACATTCTCTCTGTTCATATCACATGTGCCCTATGTGTCCTTTAGAGCCCTAGCATATTAACCACACTTGTTTCTCTTTCTCAGTTGTCCAAGGCTCTCTTCACTGCATGTTTCAGGATGGTTCTACTGCTGCCTCTGTCTCTTCAAATGATGCCTTTTGTTAGTGCACTTTTCACATTTAGTCCTGCTGTGGACATGATGTACTGGCGAAAAGGAACAGAGGCTTGTAGGCCTCTAGATCTAGTTTATATTTTATTGGCTCAGAGTTGTGGTGTGATGATGAGCTGTATTTTTTAAGGGCTTGTGACTTTGGTTTTCCTAAGGGTATCTTCATAAGGTCTGAGTCTTACAATTCCGTCTTGTGAAAACTGCCATTAGTATATGGAGGTCCTAGAGTTGCAGGGTGAGGTATGGAGGGAGGAAGCCTTCATTAATCCTGAGACCAGTCAGTAATTGAGCCTGAGACCCTGGGCTGTGACTTTCTCAAGTCCTTCTCATTCCTCCTCTTCAGATGTGACTGGAAGTGCAGAGGAAACTGGAGGTAGTTATTTCCATTCTCCCCAATAAAAGGCCAGATGGGACTACATTTGGAGCCATCCCTTCCCCCATGCCAGGGAACCCAGGCTGGTTAGGCTCGCTCAGATGTTTTATCATAGGGAATATGTTGTATTCATGAAAGGAGGATGGATCCAGGTGGACCTAGAAGCCAATGCCTCAGTTTCCTCTATCCCCACTGGAAACATGAGGGAAGCTTTGTCTGACCTTCCTCCTGAGCAGCTGGTGTGCTAACTGGAGGGAGATGTGTGGAGGTGTGAGGAGCTCCAGGAGATTGGTTCTTCCCATGAGGACTCTTAGTTATACAGTGGGACCACCCTGCACCTCCAGCCATTCAGCAGTGATGGTGTCAGCTTTCCTACCCAGCTACAGTCTCCAGAAGAGGCCCCTTCTCAGTTTAGCTGATGGTATGAATTTCCAATGACCCAATTTCAGGAGCAGTGGTTGGCCCTTGGACCTCCATCTACTCTGGGGGATGAGAGCTATAGTAATTTTCTGTTTAGACTTCCCTGGGAGGGCTGTGAGCATGGGGATGATGACCACAGAGCTCCACATGCATTGGTCCACATATTGAAAACCTCTCAATATTTCCTTAACACTAACATCGGATTAAGTTTTTTTGTTGTTGTTGTTCACACAGAAAACACTCTACTACCATCCCAATTCCAGAAAGTGGGAAGATGTACTCAGGAAGCACTCCTCCTTTGTCAAAGAAGAATGACACAAATGCCTCAAGAATATGTTACACCCTTGAATTAATTTTTCCCTAGGTTCAAAACAAAAGTGAGTTTTCTTTTCTTGTTCTTCCTGGCCCAGGTGTTCTGATGCCATGCCTGCACTCTCTGTGGAAGATGTTCCTGATGGTGATTGGCCCAAGACTCACAAACTACACAAAGAATCAAAAAGAAGAGGCCACCTCGGAAAGGGAAAAATATGAGCAGTGGGGCCCCTGGTGGATGTGACCGATGATGCAGACCCTTCAAAACCAAGGAAGTGTGTGACAGGTGGCAGGTCATACAGCAAGTGTGAGTCTTCCCTTTACACTTCCAGTTGGGGCACTAGATCAGGGGTCAGCATCCCTTCAACTCAAGAAACATTCTGAGTAGGCCAGAAAAGGAGATTCTTCATTTCCCAAGAATGTATCTATAGGCCAAGGCACATGGTCTCCTTCGGCGTGATGGTTGCATTCTACAACTTTTGGGGAGCCCAATCTACTCGGTGGGGAGTTCCACAAAATGCATGTAGTGCACAGTACATGAGGTGGATCTCTCACCCATTCAGCTTCTCCTGCCAGTAGCCATCTGGCTCCATCACCTACTCCATGGCTTTTGTCTGGAGTGGTGTCAAATCCTTCTCTTTCTAGAAGAGACAGGTTTTTACTTCTCAGCCTTGATTTTGAACATCTCAGGACTCTCCTGGTTAGAAGGGGGAAGGAGGCATTCTGGGTTGAGCATGGCAGCTATCCCCCTTGATCTGAGCCAGTTAGGGACCTGCTGCCATGTACTTTGATTGGCTGCCTGAATTTTCCAAATTCGTTAGTCAGTGTCCAGCAGAGGGAGCTCTCCACAGTCTCAACCATCCACCTGATGATGGAGATCAAAAACAGAGAGCCCAATTTGTAACCAGGTGGAAAGGACTCTGACCTGGTTTTAGGGAGGGACAGAGAAGGTCAAGAGGAACAATCATTGAACACATGAAAGCTTGATATATTCCATCTAGGGTTGTCTCCTGAACAGACATGTGAGATTTATAGAGGGGTTGTCCACTAACCAGGGACTGTGGGTTCCCAGGATGAGAAGGGCAAATCACCTTCTGGTGGTGTCTTTCCTCCTCAGATGTGGTGAATGAGAGTTAGAAATGTCTGAGCGATGAGGAGTACTTCATGAGGGCCTGTCCACTTATCCATGAATTGCGCTTCGGATCTCTGTTTTTTCTGTCATAAGCAGGATTGCGTCTGCTGCCTAGAAAGTATGGGAATGGCACTGAGGAGAGGGTGTTGTCCTAGAAGAAGGAAATTCCTGCGTGGAGGTCAGAATTAGTTTCAGCAGCTGTACAGAATATTGGGTGCTGCCTTCACATTTTCAAGGTGGAGAATTCATTCTTCTTAGTGAGGTCTGAAAGCGTCTTCCCTGTGTGATCTCATAAGGGTTCAACTGCAGCCCCATTCTGGGGACAGGCAGGATGTGGGGATGGGCAGTAGGTAATAGCACTTCCCATATCAGTCTAGTTTCCTGACATAATTAGTCTACAGTTATTTTGTAACACATACCATGGAGTTGAGTGGGTTCTTTGCCTTGTTAATCCATTAAAAGAATTTCAGACACAAATAGTGGAAGGGTGAGGGCAAAGTGTCAGAAATTACAAAAACAATATAAAAAAAGCAGAACTCCTGCATGGGTGGGGTCCCAAGAGAGGATTGCCAGTGAGTGGCAGTTGTCTCAGGTTTTATAAGGATCTAAGGGTTAAGAAAATCAGCCCCCAGCCCACTCCTGGGTAAGGCATTCAGTGACAATGTGCTCTTCACGTGCCCTTTCTTCCATTCAGGTTAAGATCACTGT